TAGAGTGCCTGAGAAGCAAAGAGAAATACCCGGTACTTTCAGGTATGGGGCAGCATGTGACTTACTACTAGGGATGCACCGATACCGATACTGGTATGGAGTACGAGTACCAATATTTTTTTTTCGGTACTCACGATACAGAATACCGTGTACCGGAAGTCCCATTCAGGAAGCCAGGCGGCGTGTAATGGCTCGCTAACTGGCTACACGATTAGCCGGGAAGCTGGGCGGCATGTAAAGACTCACCACCGGCTTCCCGATCAGCACGGAAGACGTCCCCATGCTTCTCGTCACTATGTGTCGAGTAAGCATGGGGCCGGCTTTCTGGCCAATCAGGAAGCTGGGTGCTGTGTAATGACATGGCGCCTGACTTCCTGATTGGTCGGGAAGGCGGCTCCATGCTCCCTCATCACAAGTGACAAGGGAGCAGGCTTCACGGGCCAATCAAGAAGCCAGGCAGCATGTAATGGAGTACTGCCCGGCTTCCTGATACAGGAAGTATCGGGCTAGGCATCGGAGCATTTGGGCAAGTACGAGTACTCAACCCAAATACTCTACATTGGCACCGATACTACTATCGGTACATCCCTACTTACTACCCTCCCACATGGCAATGTCTACGGTTGGTGAAGAGGAAGAGTGCTCGCAGCCGTGAGCAAGCTTCAGGACATGACTCTGAAATTACCGAGGGCGTCTGATCTTTGTTCCTAGCAGGGGAACGGAGTGGCAGGGCAGCACAGAAAAGGAAAGTGCTGCTTCAGAAGAGGGGGGAAGTTACGCAAACCCTTTGCTTTGCCTTGCATGGCCTGACTTCCCACATGACAAAAGTTAGGAGAGGTAAAGGCAGTTCATGAGACAGCCACTGTCAAGTTTTACGTTTACATCTCACCATGCAATTTTCTCAGAAATGGCAGTTCCCCTATCTCTGTCCTAACAGGTTCCTTTTAAGCAATACTGTTCACAGTCAGCGTTCTGGTTTAGGAAAGTTCATTACAAGTTACTTCCTCAGTGAGAAATTCATCACGCCTGCCACATAAAGGGGGTATTTTCAGAGCAGGGTGATTTGACACTAACTTCGTAAAAAACAAACACACAAGGACTAGAGGCATATATAATATTTTACATTTTTTTTTTAACTATTCTCGTTGCCCATGGCAATCATTCGCTCTTCTGCAGAGAGGTTGATAAATAAGACTTTAAGAAGACACCAAATAAATTTCACATTCAAGACAGTTGAAGGTAATAACTCTCAAAGAAAAACAAAATCAGGTTGGAAATGATAATATAAAAGGGAAATCTTATAGCTAAGATCATGTAGGTATTTCCATAATAGCTGTAAAATGCCTATTGTGCCAGGTCCGCAGGGATTTCCAATTACAGCAATAGAACAGGTCTATCGAGAACTGCAAAAGTCAGAGACAAGACAAAACAAAACTACCATTGACCAAACCGTGAAAGGCAATAGTACCAAAGAATGTCAACATTCTTAATATTAATATTTAGTTCAGCTGTATATAGTTCCACATTCATATATAATAGTGCACATGTAGTAAGGATAGTATCCTGGTATACAATGGCAGTATTCTGAAAGACAATGAAATGCCTGTATTAATATAGCAACAAGATATTGTGCGTGTGATTTCTATCCCATGTAAATGTAACCAAATATACCTATGAACAACTCACGAAAATGTCATTGTTAGGGTGGCCATACACTTTATCTGTCCCAACTGCGGCGGTCTCAGTATACCGCGAGCTGTAACCCCTCATATACTGAGCTTTGGATCACGGGAGGATGCTAGTTTGTGTCCTCCAATGACCCTTAGGAGAACTATTGGGAAAAACACTTACCCCATAGTTCCCTTTTAAGTATCACTTACAGGTCCCGTGTCCCTCTCCCAGGTTGTGAATGGACAGTGAACGGAAAAGCAGCACAGTGATGAGCTCCTCTGTCACTCTGCTCTTTCCTCCTCCTATGAGCATGTTCTTCATTAACACATGAGCGCTGCAGGACAAATGACTGGCTCCTTCTGTTTCTCCCTCACCCAATCTGAGCACTGCTGTACAGTGGATTGCAATAGGCTGACACAAAGTCAAATAATAAATACTTTTTTATATTGAATTTCCATAAGGCTCCATTCACACGAGTAGTTTTCTGCACGTATTCGGCCGTACAAAACATTTTTAAAAATGCATTTTAATGTGTATTGTTCAGACTATTGTGGGGTCCGCATGGTACAAAACCGTGCGCCCCGCAAAATAGTCCAAGCACGATTTTAGGGGTGGATTCCGCAGGCTATGGTAATCTGTGCAGATTTACAGATTTCTAGCATTTTCGTGCCGTGCGGTCTTCCGCACAGAAAACTGCGTGGGGAAAAAGTTAACACTGTAATGAGTGTCCCCGTTGGATGATTTTCCCTTTATTCCTGTTCCACAGATGACTCTAAATGTAAGACTTTCCCTCACCTTCAGTCCTGATAATGAGATTAGACAGAGAGGGTAAATCTCTCCAGAAGAAACACAGACAAGAAAAAAACCTGACCAGAGGTTCTAACCCCGACACTGTTCAAGAGAAAACAAATTGGATTTAGACACTTTAATGTGTTCCATAAAAGTGTGCCAACAACAACACACAGAGTCATTTATTCATTCTTGTATTTAATAACAAGATGAACTTTTCCTTTACTACTTGGCAGGCAGACATGGATGACACAAATGTTTCTGGGACAATTGGGTAACAATATGCAGATCACCGACATGCTTCACAAGCTCAAAATATGCCAAGCACTCAACAGTATATGTGCAAAGCTTATGTAAATGAATCTCCCCAGTGTATGAATGTTCTGTTGTTATTAGGGCTGCAACAACTAATCGGCATAATCGATTATAATCGATTATTGAAAAAGTTGTCAACTTTTTCAATAATCGATTAATCGGCTTCGGATCAGTTGGCCCTGTTCACGGCTCCACACACGCTGCGCGCCGCACCTCCTCCCCACCTCACGCTTGCCGCTGCCAGACCCGCCCGCCAGCATCCACGATCTTCACGCCGCACCTCCTCCCCGCCTCACACTCACCGCCCGCCCACATCCACGATAGGCACAGGGACGCGGGGAGATGTAGTAAGGAGGAGCAGGTGTGGGCGGATGACAGCCGCCGATAGGTCCGATCTCAGAAGCAAGTTGCTGGAAGACTGCTCAGGTAAGCCCGCACTTTCCCACACATGGTGCTCTATAATGTATTGCTGGGATTTGTATTCCTCTATAGCTGAATATACATTGTGCTGTATATTATACAGAGCAATGTACCATCAGCTATAGAGGAATACATTATACACTGCTGGGTACTCCTATATAGCTGGTGATATTCTGCACTGAGCTGTCTTGAGGACTACAAATCGCAGCAATAATACATTATATACAGCGCAATGCGGAATACCACCAGCTATAGAGGACTACAAAACCCAGCAATAGTACATTATACAGCGCAATGCAGAATACCGCCAGCTATAATGTACTATTGCTGGGATTTGTAGTCCTCTATAGTCGGTGCCATTCATTGCTGTATAATTTTACACTTTCCTTTTCACTATATTGCACACCACTATTTTTTTTCTTTTCTTTTTTACTTCTACCGCTCCAAGCTTGCTCCTGTGATGGAGTGCAATCTCAATACAAACTAGTAGTCCATCACTGGAGCCATTTTTAAAAATGTATTTTATTGTTTATCCGATTAACCGATTAATCGAACTTAATAATCGGCTAACTAATCGATTTTGAAAATAATCGTTAGCTGCAGCTCTAGTTGTTATTAAAAAGGTATCTATGGTCAGAAATAAATAAGTATTTCTCAATTGAATTTCCACAAGTTCTATCCCACTAATAACCATATTGTTCTAGAACCTTGTATACGTACTTATTGAAGATGCCTATAGGATGGACTTCCTCAATGCACTGACACCATTTCATTCAGCCCTGTGAATATGCCCTTCCTTGTGTCATAACTCACAGAGCCTGCCTT